ACCCCCCCCCCCCCCCTTTAAGGAGTCACTGTATTTACGCTTAGGAGCGTTTATGTGTTTTACGCTAGGTACAGTTTGATTGACTTCTGTGGGAGAATCATTGATTGGCATGGCAACATCATCTGAGGGATCTTCCTGCAACAACTGATACCTGTTTGACATTTCGCATCGCACTGCCCCATCAGTTCGCGTGGATGATAGTATAAGGCTCTGTTTACGGGCTTCCACGAGTTGTTTATGCTCGACCCGCTTAGGGCAGTTAAGAGCAAGAGCATCATGGTGGCTACCGCAGTTTACGCAGCTTGGCTCTTCTGAATCACAGGTGCTTCGAATGTGTTTCCCGCCACACCGACTGCACATTGCTTCTTTGAAGCAAGCTACAGTCTTGTGACCGTATCGGCCACAGTCAGAGCATTGCAAAGGGCGCTCTTCGAACGGAAATACCTGATAGCGGACGCGGGATATTAGGGCATATGCAGGCAGTGTAGTTGACGCAAACTGGATTTTGACTGCACTAGAATTACCCAGTCTGCGCGCATGAATTATATGCGTCGGATCAGCGCGTAGTTCAGTTTTTAGTTGCGTGTCAGTGATATCTTGGTCCACACCCTTGATGACACCGACAGCAGCCAAGCGTGGACCGGGTTCATAAGCTTTCACTTGCACTTTGCATAGAGAGGTCACCTTGAGTAAAGACGTCGTAGCTTCTGAACTTCTGGTGTCAACTGCAATTAAATTGAGCCGCGTAGTGGGGCGAATCAAGACGATAGAGTCCTGGCATTTTTCCTCGAGTGCCTTGGTAAGCCTTGTCGAATTGAGCGTAGTAATATTGACAGTTGGATCTGTTGGAATAAAGATGACTGTCAAACCTGTTTTTTTGAAGTGGAGTTGACAATAGTTGTTCCTCTTGTGAGTCACCACAGGGGGGCTATGTTGCGCTTTTTGCACTCCCAGGAGACTAGGGAGAGGGAAGTGACGTCAACGACACAGCAAACGCAGATTGGGTGTTGATTTCGTTTTCTTCTGTCAACATCCAATCTGCATTCGCTGTGTCGTTGACGTCACTTCCCTCTTCCAAGTCTCCTGGGAGTGCAAAAAGCGCAACATAGCACCCCTGGTCTCCAGTTGGCGGGGGCGTTTTCTTGACACTAAGGTGAATCCGCTTTCGTCGTCTATGTCCTTGTTTGAAGAATGATCCATAGTTTCGATTTTGTCTTGCGGCTCAGGCTGTGCAGGGGTGATTTGGTCTTGTAATGAGGAAACACTGGGGTTCAACTCCATTTCATTCTCCGGATGCTGGCCTGGTTCTGTCGAGTAGGCATGATCTTGGGTGCTTGGTGGTTGCTGAAGTGGCAGAGGATTATTCTGCTGACATTGATCCATGCCTTTTCCCGGTTGTAGCCTGATAGGAGAGGGCTGTGAGCACGGAAGCGCTCTGCAGGTTTCCGCTTGCTGATTTGTCGGCGTGTGGGATATTTAACTGAATAAATATTCCCGGAAACAAATTTCTGAAACGTCAGCTCACTCAGTCGTCGTCGTCCTTCACGAAGTGAACTCGGGTGTATTCTTTTCCTTTTCGTCTTTATTGTTTATTGACTTCAATCATATTGAATTATGAACAAATTATATCACACTACGCTTTTGTAATTATTCATCTTAGATATATTAAGCTGACCCAGTACTTAAATCATTCATTTGTCGATAGTAAGTCCTCCAACATACTTTCTAAATGTGAAGGTAAAAAGACACGCACATTGATGATGATACAGACGCCAACGCCGCCCTCGAAGTTGACTTGAACATTAGAAATCAGCAGTTTTGTCTGCCATCCGGCAGGTAGCACAACAAAACACCCAAACAGTTTTTAATTGTTTTTAAAATTAACTAATCTCTACAACTATCAAGAAACCAAAGCAAGATCATTGTGAAAATCTAATACATCGCAATTTATAGCTATTCCATAAATAAATGTTATTAGATGCCAATAAATCTGTTTGATGTCCATAAAAGATATGCGTCAAAAACAGGTAAGTTTGAAGGGCTCTAGGAGTGTTATGACTTTTAAAATGAAAAAAAGCCATCATCCACTTCTTGGGGAGCCATTGTAGTTCTAACTGTTATAAAATCTTTTATCATAGTTTAATTGTTTTCTCAGCGGCATTTGAAGCACCGTGACTCAAAGCACAAAAAAGTGCTACGTTTGACATAAAATATCTAAACAAAAAAAAATTACACAACATTAATTTTTTTTCTTGCGTATTACCAATTATAAGCACTACCTCTGTAGCTAATTTCATTGCCCTAGCGCATGTCATTAAAACATATATGTGCTGAAAAATTACAAAATTTTAGGGCAATATTTGGAGAGATGAACAAAACAAAGTAGTGCAAATACCAAAAAAGTATATCGTTACATTCTGCTCCAACATCACCTTAACAAAACTGCTCTCTTGGAAACGTGTTATCTTTAATAGATTATTCATGAAACATGAACCAGCGGAGCAATTGAGGGTCCGCGGCATCATATTCGCAACGCAACAAATGCGCATGAGCAGTATAAACCAATACATACATAATATCAAATGAAAGAGGATTGCTTTGCCTTTCGAACGACATCAATTCCACAAAACAGTATTCAAAAGAAGATGAGTAATGGCCTGCCAAGAAGTACCTGAACTGCCACATTCAGTGGGACCGTGGCCTTAAAGGAGCGATGCAACGATTTTTGTACTTTGAGCAAATACTGCTTAGAACAAATCCCTGACGTTAATGAACTATGAAACAGCCATTCGTTTATCACCCCACACAATCGAAGTCACAGAAAAAATCAAAGAGAAACGAGCAGCGTTCACCCCCTCAACTCGCAGTCAGAACAAGCGGCCACGTGATCTGGAGCCGATTATATGCCGTCAATGCTGATCATAGCCACGCGCTGGGGATGGCAAGGCACAGGACACGCGCTGAGTTCCAGACATAGTTATGGTTCGGCTACTGTCGTCATTGCAGCGATTGGACACGAATGCTTCTCGAGCTGTCGATTATTTCGAGCCCAAATCGAGTGCCCACGCAATGCTCGGGTCCAATCTATGAGCCGTATTCAAATATCGCCACTGGGCGGTACTGCGACCGCCCAGCTACGTCATCAGGTTTTGCGAAGGAGAGATTGAATTAAAACACTCGCTTTTGTCCTTGAAATTACACCCCAACAAAGAACTTTCTTGGCCAGTGGCATTGCGTGCGAGTATCCTTGAGTCCCAGTAGCGCCAGTAAGGTCGTGTAAAGTGAAAGACATCCCAATTGAATATCGTTGCACCGCCCTTTTAGCCATTAACTGCGAACGGGAACCGAATACACACCAGCCATTTCAGATTGAAGATAGACACCGTAACATAACTACACAAACGCTGCTGGTCACCGACAAAACTACAGCTCAGCAAAACGTCGATAAGAGGATGTAACGCCTGGGTAAGAACGAATATGTTGTGGACCAGACAAGTGCGAGAAGCTTTCAGTAACTAATGATCCTACTTTATTGCGCTGACGAATCGACGAATGTTTGGAAAATCGTTGAATTGCTGCACATACACGATATTCTTAATTAGTGTCTAATATAACGCTCATTCGAAGGGCAGTGTGTTACAGAACGAATTAGAATTTTTCACTGGCATAGATCGCGAGAAGAAGGAAGAAGATCGATCGAGAGCTACGAGCGCGAGGACAGACCATCGAACCTTCCCTTCCTGTGTATAACATGTAAATATCACAGTTCGTATTAAAGAGAAGTGTTCCATTTAGGCAACCTGACCAAAAACGATTAATTCCGCTACTGCTGTAACAGAGGCCTAGGAATCAGCACTTGCGCATATTGAGTATGTCGAGGACTCTAATGGGGAATTCCTTTTGTGACCGGAGCGATCTTGGAGCTTTTCTTTGTATCTTATTCAGCGTGCAAGCGCGCACCCGCATCTACCCCACTAAAGAAGCGATCATGATGCACTTTTGAATCTCCCTGCAGGCGCGTGCTCAATCCCTGCTCTACAGTGTTCTACCTGCTCTAACGTGATCAAAGGAACAAGCTCCCACCAGCAACGCAAAGATGACAAAAACGACAGGCTAGAGCTCAGTTGTCCAGTATTCTAGACACCAAGCCTAAAAACCATATTATTATTTAAAAATAAAAAACAATCTTCATAACGCCAACCGCAATCGTGCATAGCTATGACGCGGCGTAAACAAAACGGCGTTCTGTGGCGCCCTCGAAAAGATGGTAGCTCGCGCGCTTTTTTCGTCGTCTGGTGAGGTGAACGGCGTGACTGCTGGGCTCACAACGTACTGCAATCCTGACCTGCCCACAGGAAAATGTACCAGCGCGCACCTTTTAGTACATGGCCGCGGGCGCAGTGTTTCGTAACGCTATGACTTCGCGGCACTGCATAAAGGTTATTTTTGTTGTTGTTTCCCGGGGCATGCGCGTATCAATCGAAGGTGCGCAAGACGCAGCGACCTTCTCTGGTCCTGACCTGCTCTCCCCGCGGGCCTCGCGGGATCGAGAGGCCAGTCAGTGGTCGCATGGCAGATTCGTCAGGAGGGGCACCGGCTGCCAGCACAGTGGCTATTTATTGGTCATCCGAGAACGTGCCTGATTTCGGCGATGGCACAAGAGCAGTCGTGCCTAAAAAACTAGCTTGCGCTTCCGCGCCTGAGAAACGCGCTTTTCCAATCCAAGCAAACATGAAGCGATGCACCCTGCTAAGTGCTACTGCTGCTGCAGCCTGTTAGCGCCACGCTACAGTAGGTGTTCCCAAGAAACACATATCACCAGCTGCGCGCCGTCCGAACCATGCGCTAGATAAGCTGTGAACCGCGTTTGGGTCGCAGAAAAGCCTTTACCGAGCGCCCCCAGTGGAAAAGCCACGCACTTTATCGGCGACAGCGTCTTCCATAGGAAGCCATTCTGTGGGCAGGTAAGGATTGCAGTAGGTCGTGGCTGCGCTGCTTAAATGGAGCCCAGGCGGGCAAGCAGCCTGTCCGATGTGAGCGACCTAAACCAAACAGTGTCAGCGAATAAGCGTGATGACTTGTGCAGCCAGTGCATACGTATCTCGCGACACTGCGTAGGCAAGGCCACACGTCCTTATAAGGCCAGCCCGGAGGAGCTACTCGACTACATCCGACTCATCTTTGCTGACGTCTTCGAGCTCAAGGGTGAGCGAGAGATCCTTGAGCAAGCCGAAGGTATCCCGCTGCCCAACCTCAAGCTCTGCGTCCGCATTCTCCAGGCCGAGGGGCTCTACACCGCCGAGACAGAACTAGTTGGCTTAGACACCTACGGCCTTCTCTGGGTGGACGAACTTCGAAAAGTCAAGACGTCGGTGCAGCGACGGACTGCGACGCCAAGATGGAACGAAGACATCCTCGTGGAGGTGAACGACTGGACCAAGGGATCCCTGACCGTCGAGGTCTGGAAGAAGGATCCGCACTCCATCGCTAATTCGCTGCGGAGTTTCGTCTACTTTAGTTCGTATCGCGAGTGCCTGCGCGCCCTGCGCAGCGTTTTACAGACCCTCTGCCGACAAAAGAATGATAACCTTATCGGTAAGGTAGTGAAGCCATTGGCAGAAATTCCGTCCGTGGGCAGTGAGCAGTGGTATCAGCTTCAGTATGAGCACCGTTCGGGTTTGTTCGGCAGGTTGCAGATGGGGCTCTCCTTTCGTACCATACCGTCGGCCAAACATAGCTTTTCCGTCTCGCTCAAGGACCATTTCGCGCTTAGCCACATTTTTTTAAGTCATAGCTTGTTACTAAACAGCGAGCAGGCTCTGCAGTGGAACAGGTGGGACGATTGCATTTCTAAGGAAGCACTGACGCTCCTCCATCAACATTCTCTACACAAGGACTTGAAGCAAATTGAAAAGTGCTATTGTTATTTGCTCTCCGTCACCACATCGCGTTTCAGAGATGAGGGGCGAATTAACTATTCCGTTGTGTATACACTGTTAAAAGAATTACAAATGGAGTTAAAGCGCAATAACAATCAGGTACTACAAGAATCAATCGACGCAGTCGTAGCCATTTTGTGCCAGCAGACGCGATGCCTGCTGTCGCGTTTCCATGACAAGTTCAATCTGAAGGACAATCGCCAAGCTCTTGACCTTTTAGGTGTGCTGTCTTGCTGCCCAGTGGTTGATGCTATAAGCCAGAAAGGGGTGACCAATCAGGCCTGCGAAGAAATACGCAAAAGCGCCTACGAGTGGCACTTGAAAATTACGGTGCTGGGAATGCCAAATATCACGGATGACACTTTTGTCAAAGGCCTTGCCGATGTCCTCCACCCAATCACTGAATTTCACAACAATGCTAATGTCATATTCAAACAAGCCTGGAATGAATCGTACACGGAAATAACAATCGAAGAACTAGACAACTTCTTGGACACGCATTTTCGTCCTCGCATTGTTGCACTCTGCGCTTTGATTCCCGTCTCCAAAAAAGACGACAAAGATCGGCTGGTTGAAAAATCCCTCGACACATTCTATTTGGTGCAAGGGTTTATCACAAACGCCTTATCTAGCCTTCCCGTCCACCGGCCACACCTCAGCATGGATGACTACCTTTACTGGTTCGGCCCGCACATCGCAGCTGAGTGGTTTGAATGGGCTCAAAAACCAGCGCTCACTTGGATCGAGCGCTTTGTTGACGGAGATACCATGATGCCTGTCAACGCCACCGACAAAATCGGCAGTTCCGCTAGGGACACGTCCACCACCATTCAAGAACAATTCATGGTACTCTGGAAAAATCTTAACTGGCCCAATCCATCAGTGGCCACCAAGTTCGCACTAATCGTGAGTGCCTGCGCGCTGCTCTTCACCCAGAAGACGGAAGAAAAGGTAAAGCGACAGAAGTACTTCGAGGTTATTGGGGATTACGGCGTCTCGACTAGGCTTTGTGTGGCCATCAACAACATCACAGCCATCGTCAATTGTCTAGAGGCAATACAGCGCAGCATTGTGGAGTGCTTCCACCGCGACCCGCAATACGATGATGTTCTTGCCGACTTGTGCGCTCCTGTACAAAAGGCTGCAGACTCCATTGCCACCAGTGTGCTACGGCTGACGGACGGTGTCCTGCTAAAAATTGAGCCAGAAATCACGCGCCTCGTGGAGAACATCGTGCGTTGCAGAGATACCTCGGAGCAGAACCGTGCTCTGTTCGCACTTTCGAAGTACATAAACACCTGCTTATCGACACTGCATGCCAATTTAGAGGCAACCGCTTTCCGAAATTCGCTGCTTCAAATTTGGAAACGGTGCGTGTTTATTGTGAAGCAGGTAGCTAGCAAGTTACAAAAATGGCACTTTTGTCGATTCCGTTCCAGCAGCATTGCCTTTTCGGGCCTCCTCGAAGCCCTCCACAGGCTACGTAAAATTTTTCACGCCGACGGCGGTGGGCTGGACACACAAGAAGTTGATTCTAAAGCGTACCAAGAGTTTGACGAGCAACTGACGGGGCTTGTTCAATCCCTGAACGCCGTCAGAAGGTGAACAGAGCTGGGGCACCCGTAGCGTCACTTCGATTGTTCAAGCAGAATTCACGTTTTTTTTAGTCAATCGTAGTGCATTTAGTCAACTGCCCTGTTCTTTTCAGCACCGCGTCATTACAAAATTGGAATCAGAAAAGGGACCAAAGACCCCCGTCATGCACTAGATACTGTCTGTCCGTCTGAGTCAAACAGCAATGATCGATATGTATAGTAGCGGAAAGAGCCAGCGAATCCACAGAACGTGCGGTCTCGACCTACACGCACCCGTCGTGCTGGCTGCGAGAAGAACCGCGCGAGTCGGTCGCCGGCCAGGTGTGAGATTAACGGCTATCAACATCCGGCGGCGAATGATTTAAAATAGGTTAGTGCTATCAAACACAGCAAAGGGAATAGTCGCATGTTGATAGCCGCTAATTTCGCAACCGGCCGGCGCCCGGCTCCAGTGGTTCCTCTCGCCACCAGCATCACGCGCGCCTGTAGCTCGACACTGCACGCTCTTCTTGCCTTCGTTGGCTCTTCCCACAACTGTACATCGGTTGCGATTACGTACCATGTCATCTAATCCGCGAACCATGGGTCGATTCCCGAGCGGGCGATAGATGTCTTATGAATGCATCTACTGTTCGCGAGCAATTCCTTGGATTGATACCCCTTCTATTGTGTGCACATGGACCGGGTGTAGCAGTAAGCAGAACATACGACACGAGTAATCATGAATGAGCCTTGCTAAAACGAGGTCAGGGAATGTTCAAGCAAAAAAATGAATTGCTGCAGAACAATGAGCAGTTGTTTGCAGTAGGATGAATAAAAAAATGTATGCTTTTGCCCCAAAGGTTATTTTAACTAAATTCCCACTACAAGATCTTTAATATTAGCTCCTTTAATATTAACTTTCTGTTGCACCAAAACGTTGGGGCTCCAATCCACGCTGTGAAGGTGGTTAGCCAGCCAAGCTGTGGTATCACCTGCAACGATTGCCCACTGCAGTAAACAAATGTCGCCGCTAGTCGTATTGCCGTTTCTTTTCCCTTTGCCTTTCCTTGTATTCACGCTACTCCTCGGGAGTCCTAACTATACGAGGACTACCCCTAGCGGTAGCGCAACAAAAATAAAATTCGTTTCTAAAAAAAAAAAAATGAAAGCCGTTTACAAATTTCTGTAACGCCGAATTGGAGCGCAGCTCTTGAGGAGGAGTAGGGAAGGGTACTGAGGGGGTCACGTCACCTGCGGGTAGTCACGTGACCCCGGGGGGTCACGTGATCTCGGGGGAGGGGGTCACGTGACCTCGAGGGGGGTCACGTGATCTCGGGGGGGGGGGGGGCACGTGACCTCGGGGGGGAGGGGTCACGTGACCCCCCCCCGGTTACGCCGACGCCGACGGCGACGCCGACGCCGACGCCGACGCCGCTCAGGCTAGAAACGGGCCCCTAAGAGCTGCGCTCTAAAAAACGGGTTCTTCTTTTGCAGCAAAGTTATATAGACGCTTTCAGCGAATCAGTTACTCGAGCTGTCACCAGTCGGCGCGCTCTCCGCGCACTTTCCGGGCCGCCATAGCCGACCTTCAGTTTCTCGCCGTTGCTAGTGAGATCAGGCGCCGAGGCGCGCCATGCATTGCTGTGAAACGGCGCGTGTGGAAAGGTCGCGGTGGCGCTGCGGACGTAGTGGCTGTAGGATCCGACCGCTTCCGAGCGTTTCAAAGGCCCTGAGCGAGGAGAGTTGGCTTGCGTTTTTGGCGGCTCGAAGTGGCCCCCATTCTGAACCGCTCTTTACCCCGTGTTACCCGTGTCTGTTGTCGTTTATGGTCATTGAAGTGCCATGCCGAATCGACGTCGGCAACGCCACTGCTTCGCTCCGGGGTGCCAGAGGGGCTATCAGTGGCGGAAAGGTGAGCAGCCGTCGCTGTTCTCAGTGCCTTAGGAGGAAGAGCAAAGAAAAGTTTGGGAACGGAACTTGCATCGCCAGGATAAGCTCCTGGACGAAACGTGTTCGGTGTGTGAGCTTCATTTTGAGCCATCGTTTATAACGCGAGACTTGGTTCACATTATAAAGGATGAAGAGGTGCGCATTCCGCGTGGAAAGCCGCAGCTCTTGCCGGGCGTTGTGCCGACGTTGCTTCCGAATGCTCCGAGCTACCGATCAAAGAAAGCGTCGCAGCCAAGGCCCACGAGAAAGCGAAAAAACGCCGATGCTTTCTCAGTTGACGGTAAAAAAAAGGCCACACACTGCCTCTCCAACTGCCTGCAGCAGCACTGGCAGCACCACACCGGCTGCAGCCGATATCGGGGCATTTGATGAAGCCTGTATGCCCGAAGAATACTCCACGCTGCGTGTCCCCTCCGAGTACTGGAGCCGTCACCGAGCTCCGAGCCCCAGTGGTGTATTGTAAACCAAAATGTGTGACAATGAAGTTTTCTCCCAGAGAGTAGTGATTTTTTCACGAGACAGCAGCTGTTGTATGCACTTTTAATCTTCGTCGCAGCAGAGCTGAAGGAAGACGTCAGCTGCGAGGAAGCGGAGGTTCTGCCAGACGTCGACTCCTATCGTCTCTGTGGAGGTGCCGACGAAAAATAGCTCCCGCGAACAATTCCGCTAACTTTGGAAACACAAGCGCGAAAATTAGAACCCGCCGATTATTTCGAAACTTTAGCTTCGACCGAAATCGCGAAATATTGCGCTTGCGAAAAATACGTCGTTTACAGTATTGTGTTTTTGCTGAGAACTAATAAAAAGTGTATTCATGTATAAATAACAGGGTTTGCTGTCACACGAGTTCTTTTTGTCCGGCAGTATTTACCCAACAGGTTTCTTTCAAGTTGGCTTAAGGAGACACATATGGTGAATCAATAAAGGAGATTAAACCTTGGGGGTAGGTATGCACGGTTTCAATACTAGGTATAAAAGGAATGCCCTGTTAAAGCGATTTGATGCCATTCTTGAGGCTTGAGCCGTGATTGTTTAAATGTCTAGGAAACATCACTATGATCCGGTCTCAATATTACAATTAGCCATTTATGCGCGCGAGTGAAGGACTTCTTGACCATTAAATAGCTTCACCCTGTTTTTAATGAGACTCCTAACAAACCGACCCGCCATAAAAGAAAATAATAATAAATAAATAAAAATTGTACGAACATGTTGGTTTTGAAACGCCGCCCAGGAAATTGAACTGCAGTGTTCGCCTTCCGCGTTGCGCATTTCTGCTTCGTACCCCGCGCATTAAAGCGAAGAAGGCCAGACGAATTGCGTTAATTTTGTGTCGCGTATTTCTTTTATGGGGTTCGTACCTAAAACGGCAAACATTTCGAGCCGAAAAGCTCAAACAGAGAGTTTAGTCACGCAGCAAATGCAATGCGAGCCGCCCTGGCCACCCGCTTCATCCAGCCCATGCATTCGCGGCGCCCTCTCGAGCCGTCGACACCAAGTGCGGCCGCCGTCAGCGCGCGCTGACCTCACTACCCCTCTTCTAGTTCACTTTACCGTTGCTCCGCGTTATGTGCTGCACAGCAGAGCTGGCAGTAATGACTAGGAGGTAAAAGCGCTAAAAAACGACGGACAAGTTGAAGAATGACGAACACCACAGAGCGCTTTTCTTAGCGCTCTGTGGTGTTCGTCATTCTTCAACTTGTCCGTCGTTTTTTAGCGCTTTTACCTCCTATTCATGAATAACCAACTAGCCCAAGTACACACCCTTCTGGCAGTAATGACATTACTGTAATTCCAATACAGTAATTAAATTACTTTTTGGAGTAATGAGTAAAGTAATTAATTACTTCTCTAGGCTAGTAATTTAGTAATGTAATGAATTACTTTCAGCCAGTAATTCCGAGAAAATTACTCATTACCTTTGAAATTACTTTTCTCCTAAATTATAAAATTCGTTTGCAAGCTTAAGAAAGAATAGAACAATTATTTGTGCATGGTGAAATTTTGTGAAAGTGCATCAGAGGAAATAATCGACGGCCACCTGAGCGTAATGCCTTGTACGAAGAACTGGACTGACGCACAAAGGAGGGCTAGAAGGGCGAAGGAGAAAAGCTCAATTGCGTGTAGACATCGCTGGAAGGCAACAGCTTACGTAATTCAGGCACGACAGATCCACGGCGTCGCGTTCATCACGACGATGCTATACCTCGTTCATCCCTATGCTGACAGTGCTGTGGGAACTGCAAGCTAACCAGAACCAATCAAACACCTCCTTTTAATCACGTGTCCCGTCCCTCTCTTAGTGTGTGGGTATGAACCAGAGCGTGGTTACGTGGCGAGCGATAGACGTGTGACTGCTCCAACAAACACGTAGCTTTCAACGTCCATCCCTAAGCTGACAGTGAGTCAGCTTAGGGATGAACGGCTCATAGGCTAAAAGGCGACGGGCACATCACCAGTGAGTTAAACATAATTTAAGACCTGAGAGGGCAGGACAAACAGATACCCAACCTTCTTGTTATTTTGTCAAGCAAGGTCAAACCGTAAGCTTCGACCACTGTGAACAACAAGCGACCGGAAGAAATAGTTAATTCCAAATGCCTCGTCACAGCGCCAGAGCGTTTCGTCCGTCCTCGAGCATAGCAGGTGCCGTTCGCGGTATGCCTCGCTGCCTACCCTTGGGATGTTCATTCGGGAATCAGCCTACAAGCAGATATCGTCACCCGTTTATTGGGAAAGTACATAATTTAGGAAGCTCGCGCCATTCCTCAACTGTCGATGCTTCTGCTTAGCAAGGTTTTTCAAAGTAATGTCAAAGTAATTTCATTACTTTTGGAAAGTAATTGTAATGTAAAGTCATTAACTTTAGTCTGTGGTAATGTGTAATGTAATTTAATTACATTTTTGCAGTTTTCAGAAAAGTAATGTAATTTAATTATTTTTTAAAGTAATTTTGCCATCTCTGCTGCACAGGCCACCACCGGAGCTTTTTTTTCGTGTTATTTTACGTTCCGCGTTGAAATCGTGTGTTTTCATTTGGTCTTTTCGATATTTTGGGCTTTCATTTAATGATTTCAT